CGTCGAACTTTTCAGGAATGCATCTCCGACGTGAACCGGGGTATTGCTTCATCACATTATCTGGTGATGATGCTGCAGCATTGTCATTCGTCAATAATAACACGATGTGTGGCATTAAAAGGAAAAAAAAATTTAAGCGACGTATCAGGCAATCTCCCTTCCCCAAAGCACATGCAATGTTGATTTAAAGCTTTCGTGACTGCAGGAATTCATACTCTTTGGGTCTTTCGATTAATCACATAGACAGAAAAATAATAGATCACGACGTTTCGATCGCAACACAAGCAATCGTCATCAGGTGAGGAAGACGATTTCTTAAACCACGCACATTTTTTGTTCACTCACTGTATACTCAAATAATGTTTATATGATATGTGGAAGAGCTATTGCCCGAAACGTCACCGAGTATCTATAAGCATGTGTATACACGTGCACTAAAGATTACTTAGGTTCAAATACAGTCGCATTAAACTCCAACAAACATGCATCAGTCCGTTGTTTGTAATGTTTTTATATAAAAACGATCTTACAATTACTGTACTATACATATGCCTTTCAAGACAAATACAAAGATCCCCCGTATAGCTTTTGTATCTATGTATGTATAACGTCACGTAGGTAGAAAAAAACAATAGATCACAACGTTTCGATCGCCACACAAACGACCGTCTTCACCTGAAGACGGTCGTTTGTCATCTATTATTGTATCTACCTACGTGACTTTATCGAAAGACCTAAAGAGTATGAATTCCTGCAGTCACGAAGCTTTAAATCGAGAAAACGTTGTTCGCACCGTACGTGCTGATCGGAGGTGCCGGGGAATGAAAACAAGCAGGAACAGAATGTTGGGGAAAGTTGGCGAGTAGCAGCAGCACCTATGAAAGTTGGCGAGTAGCAGCAGCACCTATGAAAGTTGGCGAGTAGCAGCAGCACCTATGAAAGTTGGCGAGTAGCAGCAGCACCTATGAAAGTTGGCGAGTAGCAGCAGCACCTATGAAAGTTGGCGAGTAGCAGCAGCACCTATGAAAGTTGGCGAGTAACAGCAGCACCTATGAAAGTTGGCGAGTAGCAGCAGCACCTATGAAAGTTGGCGAGTAGCAGCAGCAGCACCTATGAAAGTTGGCGAGTAGCAGCAGCACCTATGAAAGTTGGCGAGTAGCAGCAGCACCTATGAAAGTTGGCGAGTAGCAGCAGCACCTATGAAGGCTTGAACGGCACGCGAGGCGGTGACCAGCGCCACGCCTGGCCGCCTTTGTCTCCCCGAGTGCTGATGCTTTCACACAGCACCAGGTACTCATGTAAGGCTCTGTCTAACTTCGGGAGGTCCAGGGCCGGTTCAGATAATGATCGTTACTTGCGTTGGTTGTGAGCGGGAATTGAACTCGGGTCGCCAGGTTAGTTTCACAGTGCGCTAACCACTGCGCCCCCGCTCCCCGTGTAAAACTAAACTATTTTACTTGATCAGGTAAAACCCACTGAGCTGGGAGCACTTTCTCATAAGGAGCAACTTGGCCACTCGTGATGATGATGACTCATCATCGTACTGGCTGATATCAGCACCACACGTGGGAATTTATAGCAACAGCAGCAGCAGCAGACACATATTCTGTCCGCGTGTTGATTGTCAATGTGGAGGGGAGGGCGGGGGACCGGAGAAGGAACGCGGAGAGCGATCCACGCTGGGACCACCACGGGGAGAGCGACAGAGAGAAGACGCGAACCCACGCCCTCGTGCGTGCCGGGCGAGGGAGGTTAACATCTCATCGCCACCGCCGAGACGACGTCTCTGCCTACTGGTTAATGAACACGCGTGTGGCTACTGTAGTCGAACGTGCACGAGTGTGAACTTGTTCTAATTCATCTTCTTGTTTTTTTCGGTAAAGTCACGTAAATGAATCCCTGCAGTCACGAAATTTGTTCTAACTCAATTAGTGCATGCTAACATTTGAGACACGTACAGCATATGTATACTTTAACACATATATAATGTATACGAAGCATTAATGTCAACATACACACATATTAAAGTTTGACTTAAAACGTTCGTGTCTGCAGGAATTCGTATTCTATGATTCTTTCGGTAGTTCTACTGCTTGTGTTGCGATTGAAGCGCGAATTATTAATTTTTCACCGACGTGACTTTACCGAAAGAACCAAAGAGTATGGATTCCTGCAGTCACGAAAACTTCAAATCAAGATTCTTTCGGTAAAGTGACGTAGATAAAAAAAAATTAAGCGAATAAAAAATAATAAAAATATCACGACGTTTCGATCGCAACACATTGTTATGTTTTATTCCCTTTATTTGTATTATTTTATTATTATTTTTTTCTATCTACGTGACTTTACCGAAATAACCATAGAATGCACACAAATTAATTAACATTACCAAATAATTGATGTTATATCACATTATTTAATGCGTATGGTAATGTAATGCTATCCGGTGGGTGTTGCAGTGATTTCTACAATTATTTAAATCGCAGTAAACCAGCATTGACCGGCATGGTAACGTATGGTCAAACACCATGTCATGGCCGACACGGCGTCTTGTGAAACACACACCAACACCAAAAACATAGATACAACACAAACCATCAATGTTTAAGTTAATTAATCGATTAAGTAATCAATTCGTATACCGTATAATGCATTAATTACTGTAGTTGATGTATTACCCTGTATTAATGACCAATAAGCATACAACAAACATATACTGTCTATATCATAGTCACAAATATAACATATATAGGTAAGATATGCAGATGAGCACGGAATCCGAATGTAATGACAGTAGAATCTCAAGAAAAGTGTGAAGTCGTCATTACACGGACATAAATACACAATTTAAATCGATACGCAATTGACAATATAAATACACAATATACGAATGCGTTCTTTCACAATTAAATTTAGCAAATAAAATCGTGAACGCAAAAACAAAACATATCTTCATAAAACAAAACGACAAAGAGACCCCGTGTATTCTAGATTTGAAGCTTTCGTGACTGCAAGGATTCATATTCTTAGGTTTTTTCGTTAAAGTCACGTAGGTAAAACATCAAAATTAATAAAAAAAATAAAATAAAATAAAGATCACGACGTTTCGGAGGTGTTGACGACGTTGATGACGGAGACTTGTGTTGCCTCCGAAACGTCCTGATCTTTATTTTATTTTATTTTTTATTAATTTTGATGTTTTACCTACGTGACTTTACCGAAAAAACCTAAGAATAAGACCCCGTGTAGCCTGTAACAGACTGTTGGGGCAAGTGCTGTGAGCGAGCGGCACCTATGAAGGCCGGCACGGCACACGAGGGGGTGGGTGGCCAGCACCACACCCGGCCGCCTTTGTCTCCCCGGTGGCGACGCTTACACACTGCACCAGGTGCTCATTTTAGGCTGAGTCGACCGTAACGCCACATACACACGTATATGCTAATGCATTCGTCAATTGCACAGTATATGTGTGGCCTTAATGGGAAATATACAATAGGCAACGTTTCGGGCAATGACCCTCCTGGATTGCAAATACGTAGAGAGACCAATAGAGAGAGTGGATGATAATAGTTGCAGACTGCACCTATTTACTGACAGTATGGATGTGGCCTGAAGATGAGAATCAGATTTTAAACATGTTTTCTGATGAAGGACTGTTACATGTACTTACTCTTACATATTTACTAATAGCAGGAGACAAATAGCTTCAATGCCCGTGGATGTAATCTCCAGCGAGACGTCGGTATACCTTGAATGTAAATGCCCTGAGATCGCTCTCTGACAACGATACCTATGGTGCTGCTGAAGCATGACACCTTTGCTAACTGGCTGTGTCGGGTGGAGAATGGTTTACGACACACATTTTTTACACAACGACCTAACCATTTTTAAATCCTTTATATTAAGTTCGCTTGCTTGCTTGCGACCGTGCAAATCTTTCGGTCGTTTTTTAACCCACTTCCCGTGATCCAATCGAGCTGACATTTTGCACACAGACTCGTTGTGCGTGACAATGCATTTTCGTGAAAAATCTTTTCCAAAATTCTACACAGTTTAAATATTTAATTACCAATTGTTTAATGCTGCCAGACAATCATCTGACCCATAGGTGGCAGCCATCTCAAGCCAGAGGACGAGAGGACTCTAGCCGCCACGCATATAAAGGATTTATAGTGAAAAACTTTGTTTTTACGGGTTATACTTGTTTTTATTTATAGAGCGCCGTATCTGTCTTAGCTCACTCAACCCACTCACTCATCCACTCACTCAGAAAGTAAACGGCCAGAACCAGTGGTGGGAGGGGGGGGCAATTTAAGGAGGTGAGTTTTCCACAGCTCTTACGACTCTGATCGTCTTCTTGGCCAAGTCGATGCGTCCCATAGTCTGTGAGCTGCGCGGTGAAGACAAGTCCTCGCTCACATCACGACCGACTGCACTCTACGCCTGCTCTGCGGCGGACTGGAAAGCGTTCGTCGCGATCCTCTTGTAGTCTTAATCACATGGCGGCTCGCAAACGTAAACCTGGACTTGTAAAAACATTTTTTTTACGATTAAACTATTCTTCATTTTACCAGGTAAGGCCCACTGAGCTATATAGATATTTTTCAGAATTTACCTGGCCACAAATGGCAACTCAACGAAGTGGCTTATCATCATTTGGACATGTTTCAGAGCTAAACACTCTCAACGCATGGATCTAAACATGGAGGAAAATACCGGAGGGCCCGGAGAAAAATGCACACGATCACGGGGAGAGAGAGAGACACGCAAACTCCAAATATACAGCAGCAGGCGTCAGGGTCGGGATCGAATCGCACGACCTCCTGTAGACCACGCGAGGTAGTTAACATCTCGCCATCGTGGCGCCCGTTATACTTGCCACGCTGTTAAACATAACGAGTCGAGTACACACCTTGCAGGCGGCGCAGGTAGACATGCCACTGCTGCTGCTGGGAAGATTACAGCTCAGTGGCGGTGCACTCACGTGTCGCGTCACCTACCTCCTTCTCCTCTCCATCTTCTCCTCTGTTTGAGACGACGCACTCCGTGGTGAATCCCGTGTGCGCGTCCCGGAACGATCTTGAGCGAGTGGATGTGAATTGTGGAATATTAATTCACTCGCTCACAAGAAAAACCAGCGAGCAGCGGGCGATTCCCTCTGTAGGGCACACAGCCCCACGGCAACTAGACACGCACCCACCTACATCACTCACCCCCGCCTTTTCATCAGCACCCACCTATACACCCCCAACCCATTCACCTCTACCAACCCCCACACCCACCGCCTCCATCTCTACTCCCCCATCAATACACCACCACCTCCATCCAACTCTACAGCCCGAGCCCGTACCCTCTACACGCAGACCTCTGCACCAACCACACATACAACAACACGAGACCACCCCCATCACCTCCGCACACACACCCCACACCCTTACACCTGTCCATACTCACCTCTACATCGCTCACCTCTGCACCACTTCGCCTCAACCCTTTGCAACAGCCGACCCAGGAACCCGCCCCGACACCCACGGGTGCATCAATGCCACTACACCCGACCTTACACCTCGAAAAACACCTCTAGAGCAGTGTTCATGTTCTTAGAGCAGTGTTCATATTCTTAGCGCAGTGTTCTTATTCTTAGAGCAGTGTTCATGTTCTTAGAGCAGTGTTCATGTTCTTAGAGCAGTGTTCATGTTCTTAGAGCAGTGTTCATGTTCTTAGAGCAGTGTTCATATTCTTAGAGCAGTGTTCATATTCTTAGAGCAGTGTTCATGTTCTTAGAGCAGTGTTCATATTCTTAGAGCAGTGTTCATGTTCTTAGAGCAGTGTTCATATTCTTAGAGCAGTGTTCATATTCTTAGAGCAGTGTTCATATGCTTAGAGCAGTGTTCATATTCTTAGAGCAGTGTTCATATTCTTAGAGCAGTGTTCATATTCTTAGAGCAGTGTTTATATTCTTAGAGCAGTGTTCATGTTCTTAGAGCAGTGTTCATGTTCTTAGAGCAGTGTTCATGTTCTTAGAGCAGTGTTCATATTCTTAGAGCAGTGTTCATATTCTTAGAGCAGTGTTCATATTCTTAGAGCAGTGTTCTTATTCTTAGAGCAGTGTTCATATTCTTAGAGCAGTGTTCATATTCTTAGAGCAGTGTTCTTATTCTTAGAGCAGTGTTCATGTTCTTAGAGCAGTGTTCATGTTCTTAGAGCAGTGTTCATATTCTTAGAGCAGTGTTCATATTCTTAGAGCAGTGTTCTTATTCTTAGAGCAGTGTTCTTATTCTTAGAGCAGTGTTCATATTCTTAGAGCAGTGTTCATGTTCTTAGAGCAGTGTTCATGTTCTTAGAGCAGTGTTCATATTCTTAGAGCAGTGTTCATATTCTTAGAGCAGTGTTCATGTTCTTAGAGCAGTGTTCTTATTCTTAGAGCAGTGTTCATATTCTTAGAGCAGTGTTCATGTTCTTAGAGCAGTGTTCATGTTCTTAGAGCAGTGTTCATGTTCTTAGAGCAGTGTTCATATTCTTAGAGCAGTGTTCTTATTCTTAGAGCAGTGTTCATATTCTTAGAGCAGTGTTCTTATTCTTAGAGCAGTGTTCATGTTCTTAGAGCAGTGTTCTTCACGAATTTCGAGAGGGGGGCCACTTTCACCGATAAGACATCATCAGTGTGAGGGCCGCCACATATTTGCAACCATTGAAGTGGACAGCACGATGGGGTGTATCGTCAGATGCCGCACGAAAGGCCACTCGGGGCCGCCAGTGGCGCGCGGGCCTTGCACAGAAGAACGCCGCTCGACACACACACACGCGCACATCCACCTATACGCTACCCTGTTCAATTAATGAGTGACGTGGAACTAATTTCGCATGGTACGCAGCCAATCGTGCTATTCGGAGGAGTCCTACATCCACACCTCCACATCAATCACCTATCAAACACCCACGCCTTCAGCAACCACCAACATCCACCAACATCCATAAACACAACTCTACCTGTACAGGATACAATCAACAACCAACAGCAACGCACCACCCGCTAGCACCCTCTTACAACCACCTCCAGCCAACACCATCTACGAGTCTACATCAATGGTTGCCGGCCCGTGGTTCAGTTCACTCCCTGTGGTCCGCAAGACCATGGGAGGTGGCCCGAGGAACATTTGCAATTCACCGTCTATCGTCATATCGTCAGAGCCGGACATTAGGGGGCGAGCCCCCCCCCCCCAAAGCGCAGGGCCCGGGCGGTCGCCCCGATTTACCGTACCCTAGGGACGGCTCTGTATACATTGTTACATATCTTTCAACAAAATATTGCTTTTATATATTTTACTGCATGATGGCCCTCGAACATGTGTGATGTTGTTGTTGTTGTTGTTATCACCACGCTTGTTTACCCAGGAAAGCCTCGTTGAGCCTCGTCTCGTTACGTCTGACAGCGAGCTGGTCCGCGAAAACACTTATCTACAAATACAAAGATCACTCGTATTGCCCTTTAAAGACTGTTGGGGCAAAACTGTTAGCGAGCACCTATGAAAGCCGTCAGGGGCACACGAGTGGGGTGAGTGGCCAACAGCTACCGCTACCGCTCCGCGCACTGATCAAGATCCACCTCCACACACACCACCACCGATGGGCCCCCGGCACGACCTGCTGCTATTCACCTGCCCACCTTAACACCGACCCCCACCCTCCCCACCTCGCCACCCCCCACCCACCACCAGCCACCCGTCACTCCGAGATGCCCCCGCCCCCACTCCCGATCTCCTGTGTGCAGAATGAACATAATAGGATCTTTGTGAATCGTTTGAGATCACAGCGGTCAGGACGTTCATTTCCCCACGTGGATATTAGTTAGCATCGAGACCCTCGTTTCCCCCACAGTTCTCCTGGCCACGTGAGCCGCTGTGGACGTCTTCGGTCGCGTGTACACGAGACTCACTTTAGGATGTGTGTGAGCTTGGGGACAGGTAAGAGGCCGTTTAGACTTAGATACCATAGAATCAGATACCATAGATTTACACAGACACCCTCGTAGACATACACACAAATATACTCTTAGACTCACAAAGATACTCTTAGACTTATAGATAATTTAACGAGAGCCATATACTTACACAGATAATATAGAGAAACTAAAACAGAGACACAGACATACGCACGTACATGTGAACTTGTATACAGTACTTACAAAGAGACCCATGGACATATACAAAAAGTCATAGACATGCACACATTTTAAATGTAGATTGAAAATATTTTTCTTAAAGTTGCTTTTTGTGTTCAGTTGGCATCGTACGGTGTGAAAAAAAATCAACATACGTGGGGACTCTTCGACTTAACAGACTCACATGGAAGCCGTCATACTTACACAGATACCCACGTGCGTACAGACTAACACAGGGATCCATAGACTTACTTAGATTCACAAAGAGACTCTCAGACTTGCATGGGAACCCCATGGACAGACGGACATAACGTTCCATATACAGAACTTACATATTACAGCCATTTAGAATGAAGTATGTGTCAAATAAATCCGATGGCATGGGGGCGGGATGCATTTATTGAGCAATGAACTGCGTAAAGGCTGTACATGTAGAGTTCTATCTACTTTTGCCTGTTATAGGTTCACTTAATACCAATCTATAGACCGATAGACTGGTACATAGACTTGCACAGAGACCCATAGACCTCCATAGAGACACAGGCAGGGTAGATCATGGGGCTCAGCAGTGTTAGTGCACTGCGCGCTATGAACTCGGCGATGTGAATTCAATTCCCGGCCATGGTTTGACATCCATGGCGATTGATATCTGAACCGGTCCTGACACCCTTCTTCTTCACCACCACCTCACCAGTGTGAAGTATTGTCAAACAACCCCCAAGGTAGACACGGGGTGGCTGCGTGGAGAGGTCTTCACCCAGCCTTGGATTGACAAAGTTCAATAATACACAAAACTGACACCGAAGTAAAAAACAAATCCACTGAATTGATAAAATGGAAATCTATGTGCATGGACAACTCTTTGTTAAATCCACTGCTGGACGAGCCTCCCCGACGCCTTGCGGGTTCGTGAGGGTTATTTGACCATACTTCACCATCAGCGTTATTTTAATGGATTTGACCAAGAGGCATGTACTGAATTTTGAACTTATTTCACACCGTACGTAGCCAACTGTGCTAATCGGAGGTGCGAAGATGATTAGTGTGGAAAAGTAAAAGCGGTGAGCATGGACGTGGGAGGATAAAAGTGCAGTGCAACAATGAATTGTCTATAACCGTTCCCTGCTGACCACAACTTTGTTAAAGCCAATTCGTGAGAAGGGGTGTGAGACACGTGGTGAATGCGTGAGACTTAAGAGTCCCGTATCGGTCTTTAATGGTGAAGTATAGGAGGGGAAGTGAAGATAGATGCAATGTCCTTCTATGAGACTCATTAAATAATGTGTAATAAATATATATAAAAGTCTAAAATGGTAACTCTACAAATTAATTCCCGATAGTTTCAAAAAGTTTGCGCCGGAATTTTGTAACGTTATACAGTTTAACTTTCAATTAACTCCACCAGAAGTGTGTTTCTGCCTGTCCAAAGCCAGAATAAAAGAGGGTTGGCGTCTGGTGGCCACCGGCCGTAAAACCCTAAAGTCAAAACATGGGAAGTCCTTGCAAACAAGTGGCCCTCAGTCCCCCGCAGCCCTTAAGTGTGCAGAGGGTGCGAATAATCTCGGGACCCAATGACTCTGCCTCTGCAGGGAGTGCAGACCTGGACGTTGCACATATCAAGATGGAGCAAGAAAATGTAAATAGCAGAAGGTTGTTCGGGAAGAATATAAGGTTGGCCAGATGGAATATTGAGAGAATGACAGGAAAAGGTCAGGAATTAGCGGACTGCTTGAGGAGGAATGTCGACATCGCATGCATCCAGGAAACAAAATGGAAAGGCAGCAGAGCGAAAGAGATTGGCTGTGGTTTCAAATTATTATACCATGGAACAACATCATTGCGAAATGGAGTTGGAGTTGTCTTGAGTGAGGAGATAAAGATAAAAGTGGTGGAAGTCAGAAGAGTGAATGACAGACTGATGATAGTCAGACTAGTACTGGACAGTGAGGTTGTAAATGTGGTGTGTGCATTTACCCCGCAAAT